GTCCATTCTATTATACATGATAGTATCACCGTTAGATAGTATTTTCTTCATATTGGGACATACCCAGGCCCCCATTCCCTTTTGCCCTACACAATACCTCTCTGCCAATCCCTCCACTGGCTTCCCATTGCCCAATGAATAAAATTCAAAACATTAACAATAACATATAAAGCCATTTGTAACTCTGCCCCAAATTACATCACCAATCTTGTCTTCAAATATATAACTCAAACCATCCTCTCCGCTCCTCGCATGACCTCCTGATCTCTAGCTCCCATGTCTCCTCCTCCCATGCTCATTTCCAGGACGTCTCCAGAGCCTCCCCCATCCTGTGGAACGCTCTACCCCAATCTATCCGACTATCGCCTACTCTGCCCACTTTTAAGTGATCTCTTCAGGGAAGCCTATCCCGCCTTCAGCAAATAACGGAATCTTCTATTCCTTGTATCAGTTAATTCCCCACAGTTATTACCTTTTGTACCACCAGCCCCTCCCTCTTAGAATGTAAGCTCCAAGGAGCAGGGCTCTCCTATCCCTCTTGTATTGAACTGTATCGTTGCTGTATTGTCTCCCTTTATATTGTAAAGCGCTGAGCAAACTGTTGGCGCTATATAAATTCAGTATAATAATAATAATCAAAGTCAACAAAACAAAAAATAAAAAAAAACATCACTTGTGTTTTTGATGCGGGTCCATTGAAGTCTATTACACACAAAATGCAATCTGCTGTGGAAAAAAAAGTACCTGACCCTTTCCAGAAAACGCACTGGCTCAAAGCACACAAATGTGAGCTAGATCCATAGTCATGTTAAATGGACTGTAGTGCATTTCTGCAAAGTGGAAAACGTACTGAATTCCACATAAGTGTGAACCTAGGGTCATTGCCAGTATTGTAATATACTCATTTATACTCGTGTAAACAAGTAAACACACAAGTAGATTACTGCACTCAAATGAAAAAGTGTCTGTTTTTGTTTTACTGCTCTGTGCTCAACGCTGTATTACTGATCTTTACTCAGCTGTGTGCAATGTCTCATAGACAACAATGCATCTCATTTCAGATCAGTAAAAAAACAAATTTTGTACTCCCATTTGCCTTAAGGATGCTTGGCAAATGCCTTGTGTGTATTAACCACTTCAAGTCCGGAAACTTTCACCCCCTTCCTGTCCAGGCCAATTTTCAGCTTTCAGTATTATTACACTTTGAATGACAATTGTGCGGTCATGCAACACTCTACCCATATGAATTTTTTAGCATTTTTTGAGACAGATAAAACTTTATTTTGGTGGTATTTATTCACCACTGGGATTTTTTTTATTTTTTTGCTATATAAATGAAAAAGTCCAAATATCTTGAAAGTAAAAAAAAAGTGTTTTTCTTATAAACTTTTGCAAATAAATAATCTGTCTTCAGAAATCTTGGCCAAAATATATTCGGCTATCTTTTTAGTAAAAAAAAATAAACCAAATTAGTTTATAACCAAAAATTATAATTTTTCTAAATTTTGTTTTAAATTTTTATTTTATTTTTGGTGGCGATCAAAGACTTATAGGGGAAGTGCGGTGGGCATTCTGACACAGGAGAGAACTGACTTGGCATCACTGACATCCCCAGTGACACCAATACAGCGATCAGTGCTAATAAAAGCACTGATACTGTACTAATTGCACTGGTCAGGAGGGGTTAACATGTGGATCAAATGGTTAACTGTGCTGTGTGTGTGCTTTACGATGTAAGCACACTGCTTTGTATGGCTCTGCTATGCAGAGCCATACAAAGCAGTATGCAGGAGCTGACAGTGGAGAGATCTGTGTTGTTTATACAGAGGTCTCTCCTCCATTGGTAATACTCAGAGATCACCAGGGAATCACCGGCTGGGACATGGTGACTGACAGCTGAGGCCGCGAAAGGCGGACTGTGCCTTCTACCCAAAACTGCAAAATCATGTATATATATACAGTTGCAAGAAAAAGTATGTGAACCCCTTGGGATTACGTGGAGTTTTGCATGAATTGGGCATAAAATGTGCTCTGAACGTCATCTAAGTCACAACAATAGAAGAACACAGTCTGCTGAACATAATACTACACAAACATTAGATGTTGCCATGGTTTAATTGCACATAACATGTAAACATTCACAGTGCAGGGAGGAAAACGTATGTGAGGCCCTAGCTTAATGACTTCTCCCAGAGCTAATTGGAGCCAGGAGTGAGCCAACCTTGACTCCAATCAGTGTGATGATATTGGATGTGTTGCTGACAGCTGTCCTGTGCTTAAAAAACACACACCTGTTTTGGGTTTACTGGTTTCAAGAAACACGGTCTGATGTGAACCATGCCTCGCAGAAAAGAGCTCTCAGAAGAGCTACGATCAAGAATTGTTGACTTGCATGAAGCTGGAAAGGGTTACAAAAGTATCTCCAAAAGCCTTGATGTTCATGTGTCCACGGTAAGACAGACTGTCTACAAATAGAGAAAGTTTAGCACTGTTGCTACTCTCCCTAGCCGTGGTCGTCCTGTAAAAATGACTGCAAGAGCACAGCGCAGAATGCTGCATGAGGTAAAGAAGAATCCCAGAGTATCAGCTAAAGACCTACAGAAATCTCTGGCACATGCTAACATTTTTGTTGACACATCTACAATAAGGAAAACATTAAACAAGAATGGAGTACATGGGAGGACACCACGGAGGAAGCCATTGCTGTCCAAAAAGAATATTGCAGCACGTTTGAAGTTTGCAAAAGAGCACCTGGATGTTCCACAGCACTACTGGCAAAATATACTGTGGACAGATGAAACCAAGATTGAGTTGTTTGGGGGAAGAACACACAACACTATGTGTGGAGAAAAAAAGGCACAGCACACCAACATCAAAACCTCATCCCCACTGTAAAACATGGCCGAGGGAGCATCATGGTTTGGGGCTGCTTTGCTGCCTCAGGGCCTGGACGGATTGTTGTCATTGATGGGAAAATTAATTCCAGAGTTTATCAAGACATTTTGCCGGAAAACGTACGACCATCTGTCTGCCAACTGAAGCTCCGCAGAGGATGGGTGATGCAACAGGACAATAACCCAAAGCATACAAGTAATTCAACAAAACAATGGCTGCAACAGCACAGAATACACCTTCTGGAGTGGCCCAGTCAGAGTCCTGACCTCAACCCGATTGAAATGCTGTGGCATGACCTTAAGAGAGCGATTCACACCAGACATCCCAAGAATATTGCTACACTGAAACAGTTTTGTGAAGAGGAGTGGTCCAAAATTACTCCAGATCGTTGTGCAGGTCTGATCTGCAACTACAGGAAACGTTTGGTGGTTGAGGTTATTGCTGCCAAAGGAGGGTCAGCCAGTTATTAAGTCCAAAGGTTCACATACTTTTTCCTCCCTGCACTGCGAATGTTTACATGTTATGTGCAATTAAACCATGGCAACATCTAATGTTTGTGTAGTATTATGTTCAGAAGACTGTGTTCTTCTATTGTTGTGACTTAGATGACTTTCAGAGCACATTTTATGCCCAATTCATGCAAAACTCCACGTAATCCCAAGGGGTTCACATACTTTTTCTTGCAACTGTATGCGATTTTGTGCACCCGTGCCAATCCCATGCCAAGTCGCACTCTATTGTCCACAATTACAGCAGTCATATCGGTGCGGTTCCGACTTGGTCGGAGTCACAACAATTTCTAAAGTAGTGCATGTACTACTTTTGGTACGATTTGCATAGACATCTGTGTCAGATGTCTTGCAAATCGCACCTCAAATCAGCATGACATCCGACTCTGAAATCGTGTGACTTCACTGTAAATCGCACGATTTCAAAGTCAGGATCGGTGTGACCGGGGTGTAAGTGTCATTTCTGTCTGCTGCCCCGTTTCTCTACTATCATAGTTGATTGAGGTCTTGTTTGACTGAAACGCATTAGTGTTGCTGGTCTCCTGGAACTTTTTATACTCTGCATCTACAATACGGTTTGTACAGTTTCATTCTCACCTTGTTGCTGACCCTACGTGATTGATATATGCAGGGTGGGAATGACCTGTGTTGCAGCTCCATGGAGCTAAATGTGGTAGTTCAGTTAGCGAAGAGTTTGGAGGGCACACAAGCTCATCTCTATACTCACACCTTCTGAACTAAAAAAAAAAAAGGTACAGAATGCTGCCCTCTTTTTCAGCGCATGCCATAACAAGGCTGTATACATTGAGGTCATATCTATGTACTGGAAATAGCTTGACTGTGCAGCCCCACTCCTGGTAACCCCGCTGTCACCAGAACAGGAGATCTTTTCCAATAGCAACACAGGATCCAGTGATATCCCTCTACAAGGGTGGTCCCCTCACTTTGGAGAGATTTCCTGTTGTCACGCTGGGAACAGGAAGTAAAGGGAAATCTCCCCAAAGGGACAAACACAAAAAAACCAAGAATGAGTTTAAGCCTGCCATCCTCCATTCAGATCTAAAGGTTCTGCCTGTACATTTCCAACCCAGGAAAGACTAATTGTTAACTGTTGAGCAACTGATTCTTAACCCAGACCTATTATTTCCTGACCACCCCCAGTGCCCCTGCCAGTGCCTGACCCATACCCGAACCTCATTCATGGGCACTGACACATTATACTCACTTCTCTGCCTGTCGCTTGTAGTTGGAGTCACGTGGATAAACATTTCCCCTCCCACGCTGCGATGCTCCAATAAGCACATAGTATCACATGCCGGTGGGCTTATTCCGCTGCCGCCATCATTGCTGAGGGCAACTAGCTACAGGGCTGTGGGGCCGCTCTGTGCGCAACAAGACGCTTGGTTACGGATATTGCCAAGACTAAAGATGGCCGTCAGGAAACCCAGGCTTTGCCGCTGCGTCACTTCACTGTATGGTCCAACGTGACCAGATGTGGGATTTGGCGCCAGACAGTTCAGGGTTAGCTTGGCGCGCTGAGAGCGGTGCTGTATAGACAAGTGTCAGCTTCTTCCTCCTCTCACATACACAGCCGGTATGGCATTACCTAAGCTCAGCGAGGGCTCCATTGCGGTGAGTGCAAGAAGATCTGTCCAGACAAGTCTGTGGGGGCTCTGACACTGGGGGGAGGGGAGTGTGGCTGGCCTTTGTGCGAAGGGTGATGTCCTCTGGGACTTGTAGTTCGCCAGCTGGACAGTCTCCTAGGTTGCATTAATCCAGTGTGCTACCACTGGGGTTATGTATCCAAAAGTAAACATTTATTATATTGCAGCTTAAACATTTTTAGGTGTGATGGCGGCATTCGGTTTTTTTTTTTTTAAGTTTTATTTTAACCCGCTGATCCTGCCAGTAAGTCTGTTTTTTCTTGAACAAGCTGTCCTGCAGATGTAGTAGTAAGGACTTATGTATACGGGGTGTTTGGAAAACTCTTCTGACTGATGGAAACTGCTGGAAAACGTAGGTTAAGAAACGTCAGTTTAGCCGTGTTTGCATACTGCATTTAAGTGCGTTTGTGTTTAGAAGCATTTTTTTTAAAGAGAACATAAGGAAACCTTCCAAAATGCCCAGAATGCACTGAAAACAGTAAAAAAGTAACTATTTCAGACATTTTGTGAGAAATAGAGAGAGCAGAAGCAGAGAGAGCAGTATGTGTTGAGATGACCTGTCTTTTCTGGTTGTATTCACTATGGATCCCATCATGAGTATAATGCAGCATGTTCTACCATTTGTTCCTTCACACGAAACCTGGAACTGACTGTGCTGGTGTACCGGGTCCATTTGAATACATGGAAAATGCTTTGCATGCATTTCTGATGATGAAAACAGGCTCTGGACATGGAACAGTTAAAAAACACTTCTAAACGCTAACGCTTATAAACGCAGTTAGCTGCGTTTACAAGCATTTAGCGTTTGAAACACTGATAAAATCTACTCCTGAACGCAAGTTTAGTGTGTTCAAAAAAATGACTGTAAACTCACTGTCTGTAAAGGACGGTGTACATGGACACAGAGGAAAACATTAGGGAGAGTTCAGGGGCTGCTGAAAAAAACTCAGAGCAGCTTCTGAACGTCAGTTTATCAGTTGCAGTGTACATGAGCCCTTATGCTGGTACAGGAATGCATGTAAATTGTGTTCATTCCCGCACCAGCTGGTAAAACATGCCGCACTGTAGCAAACGTGTCAGGGTGCCGTTAACTCTTAATGACTTCTGAGCCCCCACCCATGCATCTAGAAACGCAGTGCACTTTCAGGTGCTTTTGCGCCATGTAGTTGCCATGCTGCTATGGTTTTTAAAAAGTTCCAGGAAACTGTTTCCCGCAGATGCATCAACCCACTCAAATGGGTTGCTTTGCCCGTTCAAACGCGGCACACGGGATCACATAAATGTGAACCTAGACTAAGCTGCTGGAGTTTAGCTTCAATTTGTTAATCTGGGTATACATTTATTTCAGGTACTTATATAGCGCCTTCAATTTACACAGCACTTTACATATATATTTTACATTCACATCAGTCCCAGTCCCCAAGGGGTGTACAATGTAAGGTCCCTAACCTACATACACATCCTAGGGCCAATTTAAACAGGAGCCAATTAACCTATCAGCATGTCTTTGGAGTGTGGAAGGAAACCGGAGTACCCAGAGGAAACCCACGCAGGCACAGGGAGAACATGCAAACTCCAGGCAGTGCTGTGGTTGAGATTTGAACCAATGACCTTAGTACTGCCAGGCAGAAGTTATAACCATTTAGCCACTGTGCTGAGTTTTTTTTGTTTTGCTGTTCAACCAATGGGTTGAATGGGGGGGAAATCCTTGATCCCTATACCAACACTAGCAATGTTGATGCAGGGATTTCCCCCACTGTGTTTGTTTTCTGACAGGGGGACTACCCCAACCCACATTCCTCTCCCCCATTCCCCCCCACCCAATCCTGGTTAGAATACACAGATCAGCACTTGCAGGCATTGGCTGCAAGAATTGACGGCACGCTGGTCTTCCAGTAAGACTGTTTAACAGAAGCCAGTCATTAAATTAGTTCTGTGGAACAGACAGCAGTACACATGTACCAAAAATCGATCAGTTCCTGCTGAACCAGCCAACTTTCCTTATGTGTATACCCAGCTTTAGAGTATCTATATCTGCTAGTTCATCCAACCCCCCCCCCCCCCCCCCCCCCCCCCCCCCCCCCCCCCAAGACTGACAAAGCTGATGTTCAAAGGTGCCTCTGTTGCTCCTTCATCCAGAGTGGAGGCACTTTAATACAGGAGGTGTGACAGTAGCCAGATCACCAGATGAAAACAGAGGGTAAAAAGCCTAAGGAAAAGAAAACTAATGCAGCTACCACATCTAATGGTTGGTAAGCACTTTGTTTTTGGGTTTAGGGGCCAATTCACACTACATGCATTTCAGGTACTTTTTTTTTTTTTTTTTTTTCTTCTACATTCAGAACGCACAGAAAGTATGTTATATGGTTGTCAGTGTCCTAGTTCACATCAGTACTTGCAGTTCCAATGCGTTCCAGTTGCAGAAAAAAAAAGTAGAACATGCATTTTTTTCTGCGCAGAACTGTACTGGAACAGGTAAAACACATAAAAAATGCACTGGAATGCACCTGTCCCTATTTAAATTGAAGAAAAAGAGAGGGGAAAAAATAAACTGGAACTCATCAAAAACGTGCATGCGAAATGCATCCGGACTGCATTTCTATAGTGTGAACCGGCCCTAATACCGCTTTAAGCCCTGCTTCACACCAAATGCGACTTTAAAATCACGCTACTTTGCTTGAAGTAGCGTGATGTCAAAGCTGCAGATCAGTGCATTTTTTTTTTTTTTTTTACCTCCAATTTTACTACGGCCTGCAACTTCATTTAACAAAAGTCAATGCAAGTTGCAATGAAATTGGAAGAAAGTAGTGCAGGAACTATTTTTCATATTGCGCTACTTCAGATTACACTGATAACGTTCCATAGAAGTACATTACCTGCTACTTCAGGTGCGATTTGTAAATCGCATGTCACATCTGAAGTCGCATCGATGTGAACCAGGGCTAGAGTATAACTAAAGGCAAAACTTGTATTTCCCAAGATGTCTTTCAGGACAGGACCTGAGAGATCATGGCTGCTCCCACAGGTGACGGGAAACTCAACAAATTATTTTAAAGGATGCCTCCAGCCACTCCTTACGTGTTTCCTCTGGCCTGGCAGGAACATCTGTGGGGAGCTGTGATGTCTGAGGGCTGTCCTGGAGATGTGTTCCCCTACCTAAAGGCAAAACCTTTTAGAGTAGAGATGGATTATAACATCTGTCAGTTTTTATTGCTGTCTGTGTCCCAGTTAGGGAGATTTACTCTCCTTGTTTATCCTGTTTTCCGTTATCACCCAAAGTAAAAAAAAATCCCAACTTTTGGGAGGTCTCTAGAAAAGTAATGGAGGGCGAAGCTTCTAATGTGCACACTAGTTATGGTGACAGCCCAGAATTCCCTCACTTTGGAAGGATTTACTCTCGCTGTTTTAGTTATGTGCAGGGAAGTCTCCCCAATGGAACACAGATAGCAAAAAAAAACTGATGGAGTTATATCCCTCCTTTACACCAGCCTTTCTCAACCAGGGTGCCTTGGGTTCTCTAAGGGGTGCCTTAGCAAAATGTCTAAAAATTGCCCAAAACTTGTATTCAAGTCAGCGGGAGGAACAAGCCCACCTTTTAGTTACACAAAGTCACAGGTTTTCATTGTGCACCATTACGACCTAGCCATCGGCGTCCTGACAACCAATGACATCATCTGTTGATAAGGAGGATGTCCGCTACCTGCACAGCATCCTAGTTTGACCCTCCGCTTCCCCTCTCTATCAGTGCTGGGGTCTCATTAGCTCAGTGATAGAGAAAAACTGAGGGAGAAGAGAAACATTGGAATACTAGTCAGTACCAGTGTGCAGAAGTGTATTTGCTTTGAAATAATAAATCACCTCTAATGTTGGGTGTCCTACATGTGTGGATGTTGCTGTATTATATAAAACTGTTAGAATAGCTTTTCACATTTTAGAATGGGGTGCCTCAAGACTGTCCATAATTTTTAAAGGGTGCCTTGACTGAAAAAAAAGGTTGAGGAACTCCAAAATGAAAAAAAATTGCCATTAAAGCAGAGTTCCAGCTGGAAAAAAAAAAAAGTCGGCAGCTACAAAAACTGTAAATGCTGATTTTTAACCACTTCCATACCGGCACTTTTACCCCCTTCCTGCCCAGGCCAATTTTCAGGTTTCAGCGCTCTCACACTTTGACAATTGCGCGGTCATACAACACTGTACCCAAACTAAAATTTTATCATTTTCTTCACACAACTAGAGCTTTCTTTGGTGGTATTTAATCACCAGTGGGGTTTTTTATTTTTTGCTAAATTAACAAAAAAAGACCAAAAATTTTGAAAAAGTTTTCCTTTGTTTCTGTTATAAAAGTTTTCGAATAAACAATTGTTCTTCATATATTTAGGCCGAGATGTATTCTGCTACATGTCTTTGGTGAAAATAACCCAAATTAGTATTTATTATTTAGTCTGTAGGAAAGTTATAGAGTTCACAAACTATGGTATAGATCTGAAAATTGATCAATCCTGAAGTACTGACAGCCAATCTAATTTCTTGAGGTCCAAGAATGTCAGAACAGTACAGATATCCCCAAATGACCCCTTTTTGCAAAGTAGACAGTCCAACGTATTTCATAACAACCATGGCGAGTTTTTTGAAGTTGTAATTTTTTTGTCATAATTTTTCAAAAATGAAGAATTAAAGATTTTCACTTTTTTTTTTTTTACATACTGTCACCAGTGCAGTACAGTGTCATCATATAACTAGCATGGTGGTGATCAGGGACACTGGTGATAGTACGAAAAAAAAAATTTTTTTTAAATTTTTTTTATTTTTCATTACATTTTTTTTTTTAAGATTTTTTTTTTTTATTCATATTTCACTATGACCAAAGTAGTATAATGTTACCATAGTAACATTGTACTACTTTGGGGAAGTGATATAATAATTTTTTTTTTTTTTTTTTTTTACACAATTTGCTTATAACAAAGAATTACTTTGCTATAAGCAAGCATTTAACTGAATGAAATCGATTCATTCAGGATTTTTTTTTTTTTTTACTTAACTGTGATTTGGCCACAGCTAATCACATGACACAGCTGGGCTGTTACTGCCCCAGCTTGTGCATGTGATCGCTTTGACCATTCACAGCTAGCCACACTTGTATACAATGGATGGCACGATAGGAAACTATCCATTGTATACAACTGTCATGTGACCTGCTGTGATTGGTCACATGGTACTGGCAATGGGGCCGGTACACAGATCTTTCATCGGCCGTGTCCGAGGTACACGGTCGGTGACAGATTGCGCGGCTCTGCTGGCATGCAAACTGCGCATGCTTGAAAGGACACCATATGACGTCCACCCGGAGGGATGAGGGTTTTTGCCGTCCGCCATTTGGCCATAGGTCGGGTGGGAACCGGTTAAAATACAGCCACTCACCTGTCCCTTGATCCAGCTGTGTCCTCACCACCGCTGGTTTCACCGGCCGTCTTCTCTCCTTGGCATCTCTAGTGTGGGCACCTGGCTGTGACGCTTGTGACTTCACAGCCAGATGCCCACTGAGCATGCACGAGAAACGCTGCGCTTTGTGAATGGGCCCCGTAGTCTCCTGGGACCTGTCGTGTATTCCAGAAGACTACGAGGAGGACATATTTCTAGGCGATCGCAGCGGAAGTGGGTACCTGTCAAATTTGGTACCCGCTTCACCCCCACTCTCTAAAGGTGCCAATCCTTAATGGGGAGCGGGAGACAAAGCATTTAAGCGGAACTTCCCCTTTGGGTGAAGCTGCACTTTAATTCTACTTTAAGCTCAGCACACATTACAATCTTATTATATGACCGCCTTTAGATCTAACAAAAGTATGTAGTGGATAGGTGTGCCTATTTGGTTAGGTTCTCATAGTACATAGATTTGGTAGTTCAACCCCCTCGCTCTTACAAAATCTTTGATTTAGTTTTTTTCTTTGTTTGTCTCTGCCTCCATTCTTATCTAGGCGACAATGACATTTCAGTCTCCTGCTGCCTCTGGGGCTATGGACATCACATATTCCAGTAGTAATGAGCTCAGGTGTGTTTGGACACCCACTTGAGCTATCCCATAGGCAGATTCCCTTCACCCCTTATATATGTGCAGATACAGGACAGACAATGCCTCTACCACCAATGATTAGAGGACAGTAATGCCTTTTGGGATACCGACATCACACATATACCAGGAGGCAATACTTCCCTTATTCACGGAACCATGTGCAAGGCATACCAGATGTTGTGCTTGTGCAGTGCAGACAGAGATCTGGCCCTATGACTTTGTTTACATATTGCTCTATGTTTGGAGGATAGCAAAGCCTCTCCTCCCATATGAGGTATTCCAGTGGAAAAATGTTAATGGACGGTAGTAATGCCTCCAGGTATGTGATATTCTAGGATGCAAAACTATCCTCCATTCATAGAACAATAAATAAAGACCCAGTGCCAGATCTCTGTATACGCCTGTGCAAGATTTGGCAATGTGTCTTTGGAGCAATGTGGAAACAGGTGACTATTTCTCAGTCCTGCGCAAATGGTCATATATGGAATGAAATTCAGCCGGTCCCTGCTGGAATCAAAGAATTTTGATCTATCTATGGGCAGCATAGCAATTCAACTTACTAATAAAACTTTTTTTTTAGTATAAAAAGTTCATAATTTTTTCAGTAACTATCTGCTACTAATGCTACTGTTTTTTTTTTTTTTTTTTTTTTTTTTAACTTGCTCAGAAATGATAACATCTACTTTTTTTAAACATTACAGAGTATTTTGCAAGGGGAGACTTCATTACATCCTATTTTGCAAGTCATTGTAAGTATTACTCCAGTATTTGGATTTTTTTTTTTTTTTACCTATTATTAAATTAAAATTTTGTGTAGGGTAAACCGCTGAACACAGTTGAAATACATATGTGACCTGCGCTGTTGGCAAAGGTTTTGTAATTCTGCTAAGCCAATTTTGTGATTCATACTTCCACTTATTATCGCACATAACTATTGTGAGCAGCAGGGAACAGCTTGGTGAAGAACCAACTCTCAAATTGCTGGTTGGATAATGAAGGAAAAGCACTAAAAATAAGTAAGGTCACTAAAGTAGCAATTTGGTGTGCACTGGATGGAGGGGGGTGGCAGTACTGGAGCAAATTTCATTGAGGGAGTGCAGTGTTGGAGCTGGCGTTGGAGTAGATTTTCGGGAGGGTGGGAATGGGAAATGGAGTGGTGGAGGTCTGCTGGTTATGGGGCTGATATGAAGTCTAAAGATGTTTTTGGGTTTGGGAAGGATCTAAGCCTGAAGGTATGTAGGTATTGGGGCTGATCTAAGATCTCAATGGGCAGACATTGGTGCTGATCTGAAGACTGCCAAAACGTGGGCTGACCTGAGGTCCTAAGTATACACTTGTTTTGTGTGTGCATTCGTTAAAATAATGAATTAGTTTATTTGCCATTGGCTGTGCAACTATAAGTGCATTAATGTACACTGGTACGTTGGTTATATGATGATTGCAAAGATGGCACTTAAAGTAAAAGGTTTTTTTTCATTTTGTATAGAGTAAGTTAGGGTTGTCCCCTGTCATTTTTTTGCCATGTGTCCTGTAGGAGAAATTTCCCTTCACTTCCTGTCCTAAAGCTAAAACAGTAAGTGAGAAGAATTGCCTTCAAAGTGAGGGGATCCCAGTGTGATAAAAGGGTCACCAGGACTAGTGTCCCAATTGGTCAGTCTGTGTCCAGGGCTGATCACTTTCATGTGATCACAGCATGGGAGATTATATGCGATTAGCTGGGAGAGCTGGCAGCATCCCATTGCTAATCGCAGCAACACCCACTGGGGTTCTCGCATGTAATTTCCGGCAGGGTGCGTTCGCAGGTGTGAATGCACCCTAACAGTAAACAGAACAAATAGTCAGTATCCCTAACGGGCACAGATGGCAATGGAAACTAACAGGTGTTCTAAGCCCTCTCCACTCTATCCAAAACTCAAAAGAAAGTAGGAGAAAATAGCAAATTTTAGGTTGATACCAGAACAAACAAAGGGGAAAACTTCTAATGGGGGAATTGGTTCTGGTGACGACCAGCAATGTCCTCACTTTGGTGGGATCTCCTTTCACTTCCTGTTTTCGTTATGGGTCAGGAAGGGAATTCTCCCCAATGTGACGCAACCGTAAAACTGACATTGTTGACATGTCAGTTTTACGGTTCACATGAGTTATAACCCACCCTTACTCTTATCTGAAATGGTAAGAGTTCTACCTTTTTAGTTCTTTAATATAAAATTGGTTCCAGAGATGACTTGAAACTCCTCCATTATTTTATACATGCACATTCAGGCAGAGTGTATGATTAAGCAGCAGATGTTCTAGATGCAAACAGTCGATAGCTTGCTTGTTCCTCCATGTTTGACCACTATCTAATGGCTGTGACCAAGGTTTCTGTATGGCTTGCTCAACTTCTTGATTTCCAGATTTGAGTATCAAAATATGTTGAATTGCATTGTCATCATTTACACATAATCTGATTTTACCTTTTTTTTAAAGTGTTACTAAACCCACAACAGCAAAATCAGTCTGTATATGCAGTAAAGCATGCTTGTTCTACTTATTGTGGAACCTAAGGGGTTAATCCTCTGCATTGTGTGAAGAGACTGTTTGATCCTTTCTTCTCTGTCCCTCTTGTTGAAATGACCACTTAATACAGACTGAATCCATAGTCACATTCTCAGTTTGATGTGTATTGCTAGAGAGTCTGTTTGATCCTGACTTCTCTGATCATCCCCTTCTTCCAGTGTCCCCCTCTTTTCTCCTGATAAGACATATTGTGTGCAGTCACTCTGCATACGCTCAATTTGGTGTGTATTGCTAGAGAGGGTTTTTTTTTTTTTCTTGGGAGAGTGCATGCGATCAACACAGGGCCAATCGGCACTGTCCAGACAGAGGGTCAAGGGTTTCACACCCTCCTAGAGCAGAAATAAAACTCCTCCTACAAGCTTTAACAAGTGCTCTGCTGAAGTCACAAGATTGCTCTAACTGCTGATGAGAAAAGGTATTTAGCAGTTTAGATTTGCTAAAATAATGCATTTCCATGTTGTGTGTACTGTGGGAGACCAGATAGTGAATGCAGGGTCCTGGGTTTAGTATCACTTTAAATATTCCAACTTCTATACGCTTCAATTCTGTTTTGTACCTGATTAGTTCCGTAAAGCTAGAGATCATTTGGTTTTTTTTTTTTTTTTTGGGGGGGGGGGGGGGTGATGAGTGGGGGCTGAACAGAAAGAAAAAACGGATACCTCCATCTACACAAGCGAGATAGATGGAGGAATCCCTTTGCTAGTAAATTGTTTTTTGATAGTGCTATTAGAATAAACTGATCAGCAGCTGCAGCCGCTGATCAACAAAAGTGTTAGTTTGACAGAAGTGTAACAACTGACTTCCATCAAACAGGGATGACCACACAGATCAAAATTCATCTGGTCGCTGCTGAACCAGTCACATTCCAATCCATCTATAGCCACCTACTCCTGCACTGAATCAGAATAGTTTTCTCAAGTCGTCTTCCAGGACAGCCCATGAGACGTGGAGCTCCTCCCATGGGACAGAAAACATGTTACCCCCCTCAGAGAATAAAAGGCGGTTCCCCAAGCCTCAGTTTTTAATGGTGCCTCTGGACGGGGGGTAACATGTTTCCTGGAACAAAGTAAAAAGTACTTTCCCCTGGGCTGGCTGGAAGCTAGGTTGGGGGGGGGGAGGTTCACTCAAAATCTCCGGTCTTTTAGCCCTGCAGCACTCTCCTCTAGGCGTGGTAGGAGAATAGGCTGTAACAGTCTGAGCCATCCCAGGGTCCAGAGATGGCCAGGACGGTGGTGACATTCCCTCAGCTGGTTTATGTCCCACTATCTGTGAAGGGAAGTAGGGTGGTCTCCACGGCCTTACTTTCACTTGCCAGCTGCATTCTGTGGAAATGTAGGTGGCTGAGTTCCTCTGCTGCCCAGCCTTCCTCCTCATGCGGCAGGGGGCAGAGCTTCTGCGTTCCAGACTGGATCCGGATATTGTAGTGACATCATCTCCAGGTGGTGAGTGATGTCATCATCTGGCGCCGGGGACTCTAGTTCTGATCCACATTTGAAAAAGTGCTCATTGCTTACTGTTCAGGCGGCTGGTGCGGTGGTCTTCGCTACAGCAGAGGCTGAAATGGAAAGACTGGCATTTATGCATCCTCCCACAACTGCTACTCAAGTGGTTGATTGCGGGCAAGCAGGCACCAGCTCCTCTCAGGTAATTTCAGTGGGGAGGGCTCCCAGATGTATTCCTGTGCAGGATCTTATTTCTGTCACATATAGCTCCTGGGGTGATGGACTGTTTTCTAACAGAGCACATTTGCTCCTCCTGCTAGAGCACAGGGTGTGTTATCTAGTGAAATAGTGGCTGAAGATCCCCTTTGTTCTTCTGTTATTTGTTTACAGACTAAGGATCAGGACAAAGGTCCAGACCATGGCCCCAAGAGAAGGAAGTGTGCGGTTTGTGCGGCCAAATTGGTATTTTCTTGGAACAAGCCCTTGTGCCAGTCTTGTATTAATAGTCTTGTAAAGGAAGATTCTTTACTCAATGTGTGTCAAATTGCTGTCGTCAGTCAATAATGAATTGGTAACCACGTTCAGTTCCTTGAAGACTTTTTTTTTTTTTGGAGGATTTTTAAAAAAACCTACCCCACCTCCACCTTCCTCAGGGGAAGCCGGCCCTTCCACAGGCAGGACCTATACATCTCTTGAGATCAGACGAGAGGTCATGGGTAAGGCTTCGATGATGAACTCCACATCCTCTTCAGAAAGCGAGGATAAGGGGAGTTCTTCAGAAGAAGAGGGAGAGGGCTCTGCTTTTTTAGTTCCTCTAGATACAAGCTCTCTCTAGTTGAAGTAGATGAATTGCAGAAGGCCATTTAGTTGCCTAAGTCTCACTTAGTTGGTGGTACATCTAGAGAGGAAATTTTTAAATTTCCTATGCTTTTTAAAGCTGTTGGGTTTTTGGCGGATTCTTCAGTGGAAACAGAATGGCAGCTATATCGTCAGCTCTGGTAAATTCCGCTAGAAGATCACTTCGGCTAAAGACGTGGTTTGGTGTTTCTGCTTCTAAGGCGCGGTTGTGTGCCTTGCTCTTTTCGGTAGATCTTTGGCCCCAGATTACAGGAGGCGTTGGAGTACACAGCTGATAAGAAAAAGGCCTTCCCAGAAAAGAAAAGGACGCAGGGTTTTAGGTGGCTTTTTCATAGCCAAAGACAACAAGCCGACCAAGGTAAAGAGGCCAGGCCAAGGAAACGTTGGTCAGGTAACAAAGGTAAAGGAGGAATCTTGTTTAATCCTCCTCAGCCCTCCTCCAAGACCCAATAACTCCTTCCTCCCCAGAGGGAGGAAGATTGGTGGCCTTCCTCCCACCTTGGGAGTCTGTCACCTTCAGTCCGTTCGTTGTTCTGATAAGTCAGGGTTACAGGCTGGAGTCCAACTCCCCCCCCTCAAAGGTTTTTGATCACATACTGTATCTATCTCAGGATCAGGAGAAAACAAGTGCATTGTGCTTGCAGATAAGAGAAATGGTAGATCAGAGGGTGTTGGTCCCAATTTCGGAAGAAAGGGGTCAGGGTTTCTATTCTCACATTTTTTGTGGTGAAAAAATTCTCAGGCAAATTTCGCCTGTTTCTGAATTTGCAACCTCTCAACAAGTCAAAGTACAGACATTTTCGTATGGAGTCGATATTCTCTCTGGTATATCCTGTGTCAAGAATGTTTTATGGTGACCCTAGATCTGAGGGATGCATACCTTTTTTATA